ACTTTTGGCAAAATATTGTTCATTAGCGAGCCGTTGTTGTTCACTGCGTTGTAATGACTGGTACAGGTAAGGATAATTTGTTGATAAGTTAATATACATGTTGAAAAACAGGGATTTGAAAAATTGCTTGAGCAGAGGTGTCGCTCTTAATTCACTCGCTGTAGAAACCGAATATTGAAGGTTCGATAGAGAATAGATTTGCCAGTTCACTTGAGCACATTCAATAACTGTTGATATGTTGTGAAGAAGTAATCTAACGGATTGGTTGTAGGTCCACCGATTCGTTGTTCTGTCGAAGCCAGTCCTTGCATGATCAGGTTTTTCTCCTGCGCGCCCGTAAACAGAGACAACAGATCTTTTTATTGATACTTGGTCTAGTGATTCAAGCGCAGATTATAGTTCTCTAAAAAATATTACCATAGCAGCAGCGTTTGAACTTGCCATGCCTGTTCAACCCATGCCAACGGTTTTACCAGAATACGAACATTGCATGAGCACTTGTCTTGGTGTTGACACCCAAATGGAATAGTTTTCACCCCGCAGAGGTTCTGAATTTCGTAGCCCTGACACTTCGTTGATGGTTGTCAGTGTCGTGTTGATACCTTACAGCCTCAGTAACTAACTCTTGCTCTTTCCCTCTGAGTGAGAATATGCTCCATTTTCCGACTGTAAGCTCCCACTAGCGGCATCGTTCTCGTGGAACCTTTTTTGACGTGCTCTAATGGCATCGCACTGTCTGCCTCCTTCGTTCAGAGTGGATAACGTTTCCATTGCTGATTTGTATCTTCGTCGTCCTTTCGTTGATCGTTTGCAGCCGTTGTTTTGGTTCTGTTCCCTCGTCTGCCAAAAGGCGATGAGCAGATTTTAATTACTGACTCTTTGCAGCCTGCCTCAGTCCCCCAGCAGCCTGCCTGCTGGGCCATTGGTATCCCGAGCGACTACCGAGCCATTATAATTTTTGATGACATCAATGCCATGAATGGCAGACGGCGACTTCGCCACGGGTCTCCCAAGTTGCTCTTGACTTCATTATTTTGTTGAAGAGTTGAAAATGAAGTTGATTGTTTTAGACAAAATGATGCCTATACTTGGACCAACGTCAATTGTTCGATTAATAACGTGATAGTCGGAGAGATCTGGATTGAGCAGGTCAGCGACAAAACTAATATATTTACGAATGGGTATTTTTTCGTTGATGAAAATTTGATTTGCGTTTAGCATGGCGTGATGGAAATCGTTAGTCACTCATCAGGTCTAAAGTGTAAGCTCCACTTCAAGCCAACTAGCAACTGGTTTGGCAAAGACGGTACCAACCACATTGAAGGAACTATTTTAAGCCGATCGTAAGTTTGTTTTTTGGTCAACCGTCCGATATCTATGTTTTTATTTGCGTTTAGTTTTAACACGAATTGTGAATAAGAAAGTTTGTGACCTTGTGTTAGCTGATCAGATAATCGGTATTTTTTAAATTTATTCTTGTCGATTATTTTGTGAATGTTTTGATGATATTCATCGCCCATTTCGTCAGCGCTGTATGTAAATTTAGTTTTGTTTTTTGTTAAAGGTAACCTTCGTAATTTTTATTCATTCATTTTCAATGCCCGTTTTTTTCTTTTTTTTTCTTTCGGGTCGCTGGAGCAGCAATTTATGGAGGCCTTTTCGGTTATCACATTTCTGTTATGAGCTAAATTTCAATGTGCGTCAGTGCCAGGTCTATATAATTTAGCCGTCTGATCCTCCGTCTGAAACTGGACTGTCATCCTGTGACTTTGGCAAGTGAATTTTCCGTGCGAGATTCTACTCTAGCATCCTTATCAAATGTTCAAGCTATCACAGATTTTATCTTTAGTTTTGGAGAATGAAGGGATAATAATCGTAGACATATCAGATTATCGAGTTCTTGCCGCTCCTAGTATGTATGAAATTTTAACGAGTAAAAGTTTAATGGCGGAACGCCATCGTCAAGATGAGTCCTCAATTGTGAATTACGAGTTAGAGTTCTGCAGTTGTAATTTTGACGTGCTTTTACTCTTTCAGGAAGACGCGGTTGAGGTCTTTGTACGGTGAGTGGACAAAGTTTCTTGCCAGCTGTGACCCTGACAGTTATGATTCGAATTTTACGATCTGGGGTAAGGAAAGACAGAGTTATCGCGCCAGAGAGAGCAGCTACAAGGCACACAGGTCCATTTCCGATGATTCTTCCATAGACATCGTCTTGCCTTTGTTGACTGGATCAACGTTATTGTGGTGTGCCAAGCCGCGACCGTCGTGTAGCAGAGAGGTTCGACCGACACAGTTTGGTGCTCAGCGCTAAATATGCCGCTTTTCCGTTTTAGTATTATAATTTCACGTCCTTTGCGATGATGCTCAACGAGTACGACTCAGAAAGGGACCGTAATATTCCGCTGACAGACTCAAGATTACGGCCAGATGTGAGACATATGGAAAATGGTGACATCGGTATCTCAGCTTTATACCATCGGCCTTTCGGTATTGAAATACGTCATTATTTCAGAGCATGCTACGACAGAAAAGTCAAGACTCGAAGAGAAGCAGAGACAAGTAACTGCACAACGCAAGAAGGACAAGAACATATGGAAACCCTTGTAAAAAAATTTACTTAAATAATACACGCGTTTCGATGAGATACTCAACAGTACTTGTTTTATTGTTCTTTTCAGTAGCTGTTTTCATTATTTGATTTCATTTTCTCATCATCCATTACCTCATTAGTTGTCGAGTTTCAAAGTTTTGCTACAAATTAAAGAGCACGAAGTTTAGCATACCGTGCCTACTCGTCTACTAAATGATCTGTTCAGGCAGGCTCAGTTTGTATTCCGATAAATAGAGGCATGCACGATAGAGCCAGTTCCAGCACCAAATGTTTTCTTTCTAGTTGTCACTTTCCATTTGTTTTGTTAATTCAGCTCTCTATTCTGCTTGCTTTATGGTATTTCCTTAGTGCCATTAAACATTAAAAACAATTTTTTAAAACCTGTTTTTGGCTTATCCAGATTACGATCCGTGCATCGGAGATTCTCGTACAGCCGTGAAGCAACTTTTGAGAATTTTCGTAGTCTCTATGTTTTGTCTCTTGTTTTGTAGTCTCTATGTTTATCACGTTAAAGTGAAGCATATTTCACTTCACTGATAAAAGTGGGTTAGTCAGTCAAATCTCGATTTCCGTTAAGTCTTTGAGTTGTTAATCTGCTATCGATAAAGTGTTTCCTGCTTTTGATTTGATAGCGTAACTTTGCTAGTTGTCAACTGCTTTGACTAATTGTTCCGTAGTTTAGCATTCATCTGTCTTCAAGAGCGTAAGTCGGAAATGCAATAAAATTACTCCACACAACGTCGTACCCATCATTCCACGGATTTGGTTTAAAGTCACGCCTTCGGGTCAGTGTACCAATTTGCTTCTGCTTTCATCAATTTGGCATCTACTCTTTTGGATGGCTATGCAGTAGCTGATGGAAATTATTGGTTAATGTTCATTTCATCATCATCTTCAATGGCTGCTTCTCCTTTCGAGTCGCACAGGCAGATGCGTCAGACACTGCTTCCAATGTTCCCGATCCTGTGCCAGGCTCTGAACTTCGGCAGAAGACAACTAGAGTCTGGAACGTATTCTTTCCATATATTTGTACCAGGTTAATCTTGGCATTCTGCCTATCGGTTTGGCAAGAAAGAGTTGCTTAGCCTTCCTTTTTGGAGGCATTCGCAACACATGGCCAGACCATCGCAGCTATGACTTCGCAATCTGGAGAAGCAGAGGCTGTACACCAAGGCTCTCCCTGATGTCTGTATTCCGGACCATGTCGACACGCTTTAGGCCAGCGACTCGCCTCAGAAAGCTCTTTTTAGCAGCTTGTACCCAGGTTCGAAATTTTTCAGTCATGGTCTACGGCTCATGACCTTAGGTAAACATGGGGATAAGGATCGACTTGATCAGCACAAGCGTAGTTTCAAGATTCAGCTCTGCTTTAGTCACAGTGGATCGGGCTAGTTTACGCAGAACGCCACCAGCTACTCCAATTCGCCGGTCGATCTCTTCCTCAAATTTTTCAACAATAGTAAATACGACTCTGAGGTGTTTGAACTTCTCCACCTGCTGCACTGCCTCTCCGTTAATCTGAAGAGAGCAACGGACAGGAGAACGAGAAAGCTCTAGGCTTTTCGTTTTAGATGCGTTCACACTCATGCCGGTCACGTCGCACTCGGCTACGAACCTTTCTTGGGAGCACTGTCGATCAGTTTCAGAAGATGTCAGTGAAACAAGGTTTTCTGCAAACAGCAATCTTTTCGTCTTCACATCTCCTACACCGGTACACTCATCACCTTGGCTGCTTCTGACTATTTTATCCATGTACAACACAAACAGGAGAGGGGATAGAACGCAGCCTTGTCGG